TGGATTCGAATCCGCCACCTTAGGTGTATGTGGCTGGCGCCTTAGCCACTTGAGCCACAGGCGCCGAGCCAGGGAAATGTTTTAATTAAAGCCATAACTAGCTTGCAAGCAGTGTGGGTCCTATACAAGGGTGTTCTTACAGCGACCTTCCATTGTACTGTGAATCTTGATGGTTTCAGATCTGTATTCATGCTTTATTTTATTTATTTATTTTTAATTTTTGTAGAGACAGAGTCTCACTTTGTCACCCTTGGTAGAGTGCCATGGCATCACACACCTCACAGCAACCTCTAACTCCTGGGCTTAGGCAATTCTTTTGCCTCAGCCTCCCAGGTGGCTGGGACTACAGGTGCCCGCCACAATGCTCAGCTAATTTTTTTTTTTTTTTTTGGCTGGGGCTGGGTTTGAATCCACCACCTCTGGCATATGGGATCAGCGCCCTACCGTTTTGAGCCACAGGCGCGGCCCTGTATTCATTCTTTAAATAATATTTGTGTGACTACTTGGCAGCAGGAACCAGGCATATGACGGTGAGAAAAATAGCTCTTGGGGAACTCAACAGAATAATGGAGTAGATTTTTAATAAAGTAATAACATCTATACACCTCATGTTGGCACTACTATCAATACTTCATAAGCATAATTTATTTAATGCGGAACCCTAAAACATTGGCCTAATAATTAGCCTGATTATTTTTGCTATTCCTGCCGTACTCTAAAGCGTATTAGGGCCACAAATTTTTTTTTTTTCTTTGAGACAGAGCCTCAAGCTGTCGCCTTGGGTAGAATACTATGGCATCACAGTTCACAGCAACTTCCAGCTCCTCCTCAAAAAATTCTCCTGCCTCCACCTACCAAGCAGCTGGGACTATAGGCACCTGCCGCAATGCCTGGCTATTTTTTGGTTGCAGTGTCATTGTTTGGCAGGCCTGGGCTGGATTCGAACCCGCCAGCTCAAGTGTATGTGTCTGGTGCTTTAGCTGCTTGAGCCACAGGCACTGAGCCTGGGCCACGAATTTTATTTGCTCACATTCATGCAGTCTGGACTTTGTTGAGTGGGATAGTTCTTCTACTGGGCCTGGGTATCGTCACATGTGTTTATATTTTAGCTGGTGGCTCAGTGAAAGATTTGGGACAGTTGAGCTTGTGTCTCTCTATAGGGACTCTTGTGGACAACGAAAATGGAGGATCCTTCAACAGGCTGAGACGTTGGTACCACCACACATCTTCTGTTTCCTCTTGGTTAAAACCAGTCAGGGGGCCAGGTCAGATTTTAGAGGTGAGGAAGATACCAGAGACAAGATTCTTGGTAATAACTCATAGGTGGCTACACCTATTTTACAGACAAGGAAAGTGAGGCTCCAGAACTAAAATCTGATAGAGGAAGTCAAGCTTTAGCATCCACATAGCTAACCACTGCACAGTAAAATAAATACAGGTTTAAAAAAAACAAAAAACAAAGTTGAAAACAAAATAAATATAGGTTCTGAACAAGTCAGTACAGGAGAAGTGAGGGGAGCCACATGAGTAACAGAGTGAGCGTCTCATCAGGAGGGGAGATGAGCTTGTGACATTAAATTTGAAACCTGCTGTCTGGATGAGGAAAAGGCTAAGAGAGAACTTCCAGAGTATAAGGAACTGTGCAAAGGCCCTGTGGTGGCCAAAGGATCAACTGCTCAGGAACTAACAGCAGACATGTGAGACCAGGGCAGAAGTGGAGGGAGGTAGAGCAGTGGGGACTCTCTCAGGTTCCCAGTGGGGAACCCTGGGAAGGTTTTTTCTCCCTAATATCCTATTTTGAAATAGTTATAGATTCACAGGAACTTGCAAAGATAGCACAGAGAGGTCCTGTGCCCCCTTCACCCAACTTCCCCCATGATGACATCTCACGTAGTGACTGACTCAGATACAAGGTGCCAGCAGAGCTCTGTGCTGCTCTAGCCAATGTGCTGTTCATGTAATAGCCACAATCAAGGCACAGAATATTTCCACCACAGCAATGATGTCCCTCACGCTGCCCCCTTATGGCCACACCACCATCCCCACCCTTAGCAACCAGGAATTTCTGTTTTGTCTCTATAACTCTGTCATTTTTTGTCATTTTGGCCTTTGTCAAGGCTGGGCATGGTGGCTCATACCTGTAATCCTAATTCTGGGAAGCCAAGGTGGATAGAAAGCTTGAGCTCAGAAATTTGAGACCAGCCTGAGCAAGAGCAAGACCCCATCTCTATTAAAAAACAGAAAAACTAGCCAGACATTGTGGCATACGCCTGTAGTCCCAAGTGACTGAACCAAGAGGATTTCTCAAGTCCGAGGGTTTGAGG